TGGATTAATAATACAAAAATATGTTCTCTTTTCACTGAAGTAGAGGTCAAATCAGCAAATCTCTGACCTGAATATTTAACTCTGAAGACAGAAAATGTACTAAAATCTTATTTAAATTATACAGCTGCTAAAGAAGTGATACAGCTACTGAAGAAGTGTAATTGGACTTGCTATTTTCAAAACAAAATTCTCCTGATATTTTCACAACTGAGGCCTTTAGCAAAGCATTTTTGAGCATGGGTCACTGAAAATCGAAGAGCTGCTTCTTGCTTTCTAATGAAGTCAAGAAACCATCCAGACTTGCCACAAATGTAAACAAGAACCAGGAATTCATGTAGAAGCTGAGAGGATGCATCATCCAGTTTTGTTTCCTGAATAAACTGACCGTGTGAGAACCAGGATATAATTTTAGGGAGGGCAGCAATTCTCTATTTCATGGGCCCAACTGAACACATTTTAATGAGAAAATGCCAGTTCACTGGAGCTGATTAATTCCACCTGTTTTCTCGTTTCCTGTTTGTTATATTCACCTTTGGGGGGTTCCCACCCATACTTTGGCTGGAAACAGAGACAGAGCTGTGCTCCTCTGGCATCCAAAGGGCCACATTAGGCAACTACAGCGGGTGTCACAGCACCCTCCATGAGGATCTGGGTAGTCCAGGTGGTGGCAGTTGTTCATGAGATCCAGAGGTGCATGATGATGTCCCCTGCCCATCTTTGGCAGATACAGACATTTTAAAAACTGCCTGCTTTCCTCCTACATCCCTTGATATGCTGTTCCAGACACTTCTGATTGTACAAACACCCATTTGTTTCTAGTTTCTTCAGACTGACCTCTGAATCATTAGGCTTAATCTGCTGCTTTACTTGATTACAGATGCTCCTGAATTCAAATATTTTCTCCCACTGCAGTCAATTATAGGCTAGGATCAAGTTTCTGCTCTATTTTCATTCCAATATACAAGAGCTGTGTAAAACTTTTGAAGGTTATTGCTGGGTTTTTAGCGTGAGTAGGAAAGCCCTGCATTTAAATAACTTTACTGTAATGTTACTACAACTTTACTTTTAATAACTTTTATATTAGGAATATAAAATATGAAAAATGAAGAAAAATTAAGACATTGCTTTTTTTTAAGACTCTTTTTTCAGCTGAAATGAGTGCATTCTATAGATACCTAGGAAGAGGGTCCAGCTACTATAGGGTGCAATATATATAATCAGATTTATTTTATGATCTGGTTTATGAGTATATGTAAATGTGTACCCAGTGAAATTGCAACACAAAAGAAAGTTCTATGAATTATTTATTATTTGCCTAGGAATCAACAACTATACATTAGGACCAAACAAACTTCTAACACTGAAAAAGTTTTTTGTATTAGGTTGGCTAACTTAAACTTTAAAACATAACACTAGTCTCAAGTCAGAACAGATATAGGTTAGCAATAACTTGAAACTTAACAGGTTTTAGTATTGGAAGGGATATCTTAAAATAAAACATGATTCAGGGAAAGGATGTTCCTTTCATGTTGAAAACAGCTTCCCAGAATATAGTTGTATAGCTTTTGAATAAATATAACAGTAATTGTCTCAGGAACGATGGTGCTCCTCTGCTTTGTGCACATCACAGCTAAAGGGGGTGGGAGACTGCAACAAACAGTTGCCCAGTGTGAGGAAGGTAGCAAGAAGGGAATATTCTTGAGCAGCAAGCAGATGGTGGGAAGGAGGAAAAGAGTCATAGCACTGGATTTTTGACAAATTTATGTTTGAAGTAGAGGCCTGTTTACCTAAAATTGGTGAAGATTCTCAGTACTATCAGCCAAATGTAGCAATACTGGAGGATCGGCTTCGAAGGTTTCTGAATCCCTCAGACACACAGAACAGGGTACTTTCCCAAAAGTGGGGTCAGAAGATGTGACATTCTTCTACTAACCTACTGCGTGACACTGAAATAGTTACTACACCTCACTCTTTCCCTTCTCGGCACGATTTTGGAGGCTTCACATGGCAGAGTTTGCCACTGTTTTTAGGGGCTCAGCTGAGGTCCCCGGGGACCCTTCGACAGGAAGCAGAGCATTAACCCCTTCTCGGCTGCTAGGAGGGACAGAGCGGTCCCTGTGCAGGCGGGAATCACGTCCCCGAGGGCTGTGTTTTGTCAGACTGGCTCCCAAACGCCGCGCAGGGTGTCCGGGCACTGCCCGCGGGCCTTCTGCTGTACGGGACGGGCGCTCTGCGGGGCTGGGCTGGGAGGCCCTGACCTCTGCTGGCCAGAGACTGAGCCCGTACCGCTCCTCCTCTGGAAAAAAAAAGGAAGGAAAAAGGGTGTGCTAACCCCCGTGCGTTTCTGCCCAAATTCTGCCTGCTCGCCTAATCTCTTCCTACTTTCCCAGGGCAGTAGCGTGTTTGGTACTGAAACGGCTGTGCGGTGCTTCCGTGGGCATCCAGCAGCTCCTGTGGTTGTTTTTCCATTAATTAATTATTTCAGATGCATGACTTGGCATGACTTTTCTGTTGCAGAGAGTTTTGTCAAACTGTAAATGTTGGGCTGAAATTTTCCATGCTTTGGACTTTACCTCACCCTGGGCCATTTTTACTCCTAGAAGTCTTGCTCTCGGGAAAACTATTTTGAGTGTATCCAAACACAGTTGTGCTGTGACCGACATGTTCTCTCGAGATGTTTAAACTCTGGAAACTCTGGAAGAGCAACACTTGAATTTTTACTGAGATAAGGCAAAAATGCTTTGCATGAGGCCTGTGACCTTTTGGCAAAACTACCGCCCTTTCAAATCTACCATTTACAAGTGCTTGGAAGGGAAGAAGGTTGAAGACAAGTGGAGAGTGACAACAGAGAAGGGTGACACTTGGGAGGAACAGCATGTGCTCTTGTCCCTTCCCTCTCAGGGCCAAGGCCAGATCAGGACCCTACATGCTCCCATGACTTGTAGTTAGCTTTTCTCAAGGCATTGCTGGTCAGTGCCTTTTGTGCAGAACCTGTTCTACACTGAGCAGGCTAACATTGTCTCTAGAGATTGGGCTGGCCTAGCAACAGTGAAAATATGCTATGTACCTAAAACAAACCGAGCATTGAGGCAGTGAGTGAAACCAGTATGGCTGACCAGAACCGCAGCAGCTCATGTGGCAGAGGCCAGGGCCATGAGACCTATGTTACCTGCCCCGACACTATGTGACAGGAATGCTGTGCTGGGTGGTGGTATTTCTACATGTTGGAGTTTTTTCAGTTTGTTTTCACAGAACTTTTACACACAAAGTTATGTTAGAAGAGCAGGTTAAATACTCAAAAACTGAGATGCTCAAACAGCCTATGAGGCATTAACTTCTATTCTTCCCCAGTCCCACCTCAACACAGGATAGAGTCCTCAGTTACTGACTACATACAGTTTCCCCACAGGATACTTGCTCAGTTGGGGTTGACTCTGGGGTCATTGTTGAAAACAGATTTTTCCTTTTCTTTGTCATAGAGTAAAATTGTTTTATCTTAACAACTACCAGATGGTATGATCTTCAGTGCCTGGCTTGAGAATTTCAGGCCCAATTGGAATAAATGTTGAGTATTCACTGCTATGCTGGCATCTCTGCTGCTTTTAGCACTGTATAAAACTGCACACAGCGAGAATGTACATCCTCAGTGCCCAAAAACTGGGACTCCACAGTAGTAGTCAAGCTTCATTCCAGCTTGTGAGTGATATGCCTGCAACCTTTTTCCTCTAGCAACACTTGGAAAACACAGTTCATTTCTACAAGTTAAGAAGGTGTATGGAGCTGTGAAATGATGGTCTCTTTGTACTTTATTTATGAATGGAGATCCATCAAAGATATCAGCTTTTTACTTCTGCTGCAATATTTTGTGGATTAATGAAAAATTATTTGTTATAAGATTTCAGCTGTGATACACAAAGGAAAGCAGAGTTTATCCTGACCTCTTTTAACATAAAAGCATCCACATCTAGCTGAACAGCCTCCCTTTTTTTTTTTTTTGTGGTAGACAGAGTGAATAGCCCAAAATATACACGAGATATGTGTACAGAAAGTTCATATTTTTAAAAAAGTAAAGTGTAATGAGAATTACCCATACATAGAGATCAAAGTTAATACACTGGACAAAAGTAATGGTCCCTATCTTTTGTTCAGTCAAATCACTAAATTCAAGTGTGCTGTTGAGTCAGTAGTGTTTGATTTGAAAGACTTCATCATTAAGAAATTAATGCTCAACAACAGTAGGTATTGGTATAATGAATTATGCTACTTTCCAAAGTTAACATCCTACAAAGCTTCTGTAAGTTACTTGTATTCCTAAATTATCTTTTAGGGACCTAAGCAAAGCCAAAGAAACAGAACAAAACCAAAACCAAGTTCACAAGAAGAAATTAGTTCTAGATTAAAATAAGTATCTTCCTGTAGTGCTGTGCAATGTATATGCCTCTGTATGTATTTCAGTGTCCAATGCATACTCAAGTAGTATGTCAAGGAAGATATATACTAAAACATTGTAAAGGACTGACGATTGTATACCCCCAAACTGATAATCTGGATGAATTTACTTTCTGGAAAGGCTCCTAGACTTAGAAAGGTGAATATGTTTTCATTGTGTAAAAGGCGCAAACCAACATCCTGAGGAATTCACGCTTGCCTTGTGTTGACTACTGGACAGAAGAGCTAATTGTTCTATAGAGCCTACACAAAACTATATACGGTAGAAATTGTCTATTGTGGAAGCCCAGTTACCATGTTTGCATATACAAATAAGCACATTGTTCACCAAACACCTGCACTTCTCAAAAATGTTCACACAAAGTAATAACCCATTCAATGTGATCATGAGTAAGTTTGCTATGTCATAGTCACAGAATCATAGAATCAGCTGGGTTGGAAAGGACCTCTGAGATCATCAAGTCCAACCCTTGATCCACAACTCTCTGCCTTTCATGTTGAAAATGTAGCCAATAAAGTCCTTCAAATATAGTGCTTAAATTCTAAATAAGGAAGGACAATTGAACCCTTGACATTATTTAGATCATAAGAGGGGTTGCATATAGGGAGAAATCTTCATAATATTTTACTGCATATGGATAAGGTTTGTAGTCAGTTGACGGCTGTGTGTGACATGGTTTCCAGCAATTAAATACTCCAGAGAGAAAATTATACAATTAATCATCCACTTTTGTATTATCACTCAGCAAGATTTTTATTTTTTCATGCTGAGGGACTGAAGGGAGAGAAAGCAGATCTTGAAGAGACTGCATCCAGGCATACTTGCTTTATTTGGCTTTGAATTTGCTTGTGCTTCAATAATTATACTGAACATCTGGTTTCTTTGTTAATCAGAGAAAGCATGTTTTATTCCCTTGACTTTTTAATAAGAAAAAATTAATGTATTGCAGTCTGCCATATGAGAATCCACTGCAACAGTAACACTTTGCTGGAACTGAACATGACATCATGCTTTGATGATCACGATATGCCTGTGTATTACATGTGTGAGATGCCCACAATAGCAATTATTTTCCCATGGGATTTGAAACCACATGCAGGAACTCCACTGCCATGGGTGGCCAGGACTGCAACACCTGCTTATCACCATGGTGGCCAGCTCAACACAGCCAGAGGCTTATAGATAGGGAGAGTGATTTACCCAGATTATAAATAGTACATCTCTTTTGTTGCGTTCAAAAGAACTTAAAGATCAGGGGTGATCAAGACTTTGCTTTCTGAGATGTCAGCCTCTGCTTCTCCATTCCTATCCAAACAGCCATCCTCCGGTTTGATTTCCTCCTTCATTTGTACCAGCAGAGGGATAAGTTTGAAATCTCATGGAGACTTTAAGCCTGTTCAACTGGTCAGCAACAGTTCACCGACTGGTATGCAGAGAGATCAGCTTCTCGGTACTCCCTTTGTACTCTTCAGAGGTGTTTCTATCACCACAACTCCTCCCCATGGAGGAGCCAAATATGACTGGTTTTCCCCTACTGCAGCCCAGGCTGCAGTGTCTGACAACTGACTGGGAGGATCTTGGTGGACCTGAGCAACTTCCTCCAGCTAACAAAAAGCCTCTGTCAAGCCATGTAAAGCACAGAACTGGCTATTGTGGCATGCTAGTACGCTACTATTAAGGAATTAGCACAATGAGAAAATATTTTTGGCACCAGACGGCAGCAATGTCTGGGACAGCAAGACAGATATCCACTTCTACTCCTACTTCTGATGTTCATGGGCAATCTCTGCCTCCACCTTTTTTCCATTCAAAACCTGGTCAGGGGAGGCAGGGAGTGGGTGCAACCAATATAGGCAAAATTAAATATATTTGATAATGATCTTTAAAATCCAACACTTAGAATAGTCATGAAAGTAAAGATTTAGCCTTACTGGATTTAGGATGCAGAAAAATTTTTAATGGGCACACACTCTTCTTGGGTAAACTGTTGTAAAAGAGGCTACATGAGCTTACATCAATTGAGATTCATTCTAAACTTTACTCTTCTGGATTTTTCCAGGTACTAGAATCAGATGAAATCTCGAATGCTGTTAAGAACAACTGTGATGCCAGACAAGAAAGGACATGGTTGGTTTTGCAGTCTTGTCAAAACTCTGTCTGACTTGTCAGATTTTAGTCAAAAAATGAGTTTCAAGTTATTCACAATGGCAGATCAGAGGCTGAATCTATTTTAAATGGTCGTATTTCAAGCTTCATTCTGCTTTTAAGTCAAAAAGGAGACCTCATCTATGTCCCAATGTTTCTCTGATTAGTTTCTCAGCAACATCATCTAACTGTATTAACAGAGCTGTCAGAAGGGGCTTGCTTAATAAAATGTAGTCTTTGTCAAGGAGTAAGAAAAGAACACTTTATTAGTTTGTTGACCAGGACATTTCTACAGATTCAATCTACTTCACTGGTTTATGTCTTTGCTCAGATCTGACTCTTGTCATTGTACCATTTGTCTAGTTTAATTTCTCTGAGTAGCTGAAGTGATTATGGAGAGATATTAAACTGGAATCATATACGAAAGATATTATTAAACAGCATTCCTTTATTATCTAAACCAGATGTAGCATTGTGAAACAAAAAAATCATTTATTAAGCCTCCAAAGCTGTCTTTGTCCATCTGCATAAATTGGCAGGTTGCATGAAGACCCTTTTGTTATTTATAAATAAAGTTCTGCCTGAAATAAAACCACACATCCAGTCTCTTAATTCAGGAGGGGTTAAAGTCCTTGGTCATGATATCCATCTTGCAGCTAAAGCCAGTCATTATTATCTGAGGTTTGACTTCTTGCTTTTTCTGGTTCTTCTTGTTATTGGTTTTTTTACAAGTCAGCCTCCAGTTAACCCCCACTTTTTTATTCATGTCATCTTCATCTTGTATGTGTTATGCTAGATAAATGTTGACATCCTCATCAGACTATGAAATATATGTGCTTAAAGCCCCTAAGACAATTCCATCAGCCTTTACCTCCTCAGCATAAGACTTATTCTATGTTATTTTTCTCTTGTACTGGTCATTATATCTTGCTGGCTACAATTACTTTGTAAATCCAGAACAAGAAGTCATCAAATTACCAATCTTGTCTCCTCTGGGTATCCAATGCTTTCACAATACCATAAGATCCTCCCTGAAATTATCATTTGCCAGATAAAATCCCTCTGGATGAACTCTGCAGTGAAGTACTTTTTAATTGGGTGAATGTTACCAGGTCTGTTACCTCTGATGAGTTCAAAAGCAGCAGTCTTGCACAGAGGAAGTCCACATAAAAGCATACGAAACCCACAGACCAATCCTACAGGGTCCAGCAGGTATGCAAGTGTCTGTCTGGTTGCACTGTGCAGCATGAGGGCTGGATGGCTGCCCTTGGGTACCCATGCCAACCAGTTCCAGCCTACAGCCACTGCACTGCTCTGCTCACATTACGTCTCCAGGCTTCCCTTTCTCAGGAAATCCATGCCTTTTCTATGCAGATATCTCAAAACAGGGATTTAAGAGCACAACATAGGGCAAAAATTTAAGTTTTTACAGGTTTTCAGCATCTGTAAAATTAAGAGAGATGTAGCTCAGTTTAGTCAAGATTTCCTATAGTTACAGCTGATTTTTTTTTTCTCTTGCTGAATGATCTGGAAAAATTCAGCCCTTAAATTAGTTAGAGCATCATGTTCAGTGATTGTGAGCTGCCTGCAATGAAGCCCTTTCCCCACAGTAAATGCAGAAGGTCTTCTACCTGTTTCATTGTGAAAAATAGCTGTCTTGGCTCTCACACACTTGCAGTAGGGTGAGACCACATACAAGCACTCTGCCTGTTGAAAAGTGAGGACTCATGATCCTGTGGACTCATGATCCCATTGTGTGTTGAAGACTTTTATTTATAGAGCACTTTCAGTTTGTAAAAGAGTGTGTGAGGCAGCCACTAGTCTAATTATAGGATTTGGAATGTGACAACATTCTACACATGTAGATCTGTAGCAAAAAAAGTGTTTCAAATTAAAATTGTTGTGCCTTCTATCTGGTTCAGTAGCATGGACGCTCCTGACTCCCTTAAGCTAAATAGCATTGAAAGGGTGGTAAACAGCAACGTTCTCTTTCTAAGCTGATTTCAGGGCATTACTGTGATTTGGAGATTTACTCTCTGGTAATTTCTGAATTATTTTAAAGCAGAGGCTCCCACAGTTGCCTCTGTATTCATCAAGAAGAGCAGAGGAGATAGGTGCCTGTGTACGGCCCAGGAATAACAACTGCATGGGAAGGGAAGGGATTGAATAATAAAATGCCATAGTTGTCAGAAACCCCTGATTTTCATCTTTAGATCCACAGCTAAAGCATTTGAGTTTCACCATAGACAGAGAGCAGAGAGGCACATTGTGCCATTTAAATACTGTTTACCTCTCTCCTGTAGAAAAAAAAGCTGCAGTGAAGTTTCCTCAATAACTGGCATTTAATACCCAGCAGCAGACAGGCAGCGTGACTTAAAGTGCTGGCTGGAGCTGCCTCTGCTTAACACAAAACAGCACCAGCAATCCTTACCCCGAGGAATCACTGCTGTTAATCAGTAAATTTATTAAACTGGTAAAACTACTAGTGCACATCAACTGTTCCTGCTGGTGGGAAAGGGATCGGCTCTAGCACTTCTCAAGATTGATATAACTCACAAGCTTCTTCTAGCATCTGATGGCAATCACACAGAAAACTTATGTAGTGTCAGTAAAAAATGAGGTTGTTATCGCTGCCACACTTATGAAATGTTCTGTGCTTTACAGCAATATGAGGAAATGGCTGAGAACTTCTCATCTGCATGTTACCTCTCCTTCCCCAAGCCGCGTCCAAATCAACCTGTACACAGACTAGTTAACAGAATGAGCTAGTAGGATGAGAAACTGTTCAGCTCCACAAAGACAAGTCAGTAATGTTTTCTGGAAGGTTTTTCTAATTATTGCTTGGCTTATGTGATTTTTTGTGCATAGTAAAAAAATTGGGTGCAGATGTGTTCCTTAAAAAAGACACAATTACATTCTTTTAACCTGATTTTAATGTTGCAGAGTTAGCATAAAGACTTCCTTGTACCTCAGGACCTTAGTGCTTTCATGACTGAGGTTTCAATGACCTCATGGACAGGTCTCCAGGCCTCTGTGCATTCTATTCTTCATCAAATGTGCTGTTAGTCATACTCCCTTCTACAGAAAGTGGCCAGTCTCCATTACCTTTCTCTCCACCTTTTTATTTCTACTCTCTGTCTGTCATTACAACAGTCTTTGTTGGGGTGTCTGCGTTGCTTTTTTGAGACTTTGGACTCTTTATCAAGCTGCTCTACACTTTTCCTTGCATAATTTGATCTACCCATAGTTCCAAACCTCCTCTTAGTCTCAGTTCCCATATTTGACTTGCAGCTCGTAATCATTTTCCCTCCGTTCTGTTCCACCCTTATTTATATTTTTTTTTCCATGACTTTCTCTAGGAGATGCTTTCCTGGCATCTTAACCTGAACACATCTACATCATACTCCCCTACAGAGTCATCAGTAGATAGAGCTCTAAGAGGTGGCAAGATATCTTCCTCCACTAATGCAAATAAATGTGTACCTGCCATCTTCTTAATACTTTCAAGTATTTTCACCACACTCTTAGCCTCCTCTAATATCTTACCATGTTGACACTTAAAAAGTTTTCTTTCCACCATACTCTTTCCTGTTGGTGATTTCTTCCTGTCCTTCACTCAGTTGCCATGTGACTCAATGAACATCACACTTTCACTTACCACACTGGAAGGGTGTAACCATGGCCATCCTCTTTTCCTCCACAGTCTCCTCTTTGTTTTGAACTAAGAAAACCAAATTCTGCTCCAAGCAAGTTAGGTTTTCCAGACACACTGTTATTTCATTCTCTTTTCTCTGGTCTCCTGCAAATGTATTTACATCTCAAACCACAAGCACAAAAATCAAACTTCCTAAGAGCCTTCCCAGCACTGAGCAGTCATATTTTCTGGCCTTACATATGGATCTCCTGGGTTTGTTTCTTTCAGCTTCCATTTCTTCCCATATTGTGCTACTAACCATGCTACTACTATAACTTATCACCCTGGTGCATAGCATGTACTGACAAATCCAAAGCTACAAGAATACACAAGGCTTCTCAAACCTTTGTTGAGAGGATGAGAAAATATGCACTATTCTTCTTGTTCTGCAAACCTTCCCCGTGAAAAGAGTGAAGTTTTCCAAGGTTATCCCTAGGCTACAGTCAAGCCTGCAGCCTATAAATCTGATTTATAAACTTATTGACTTTCTCAATTCTCATTTTTTTAAGTGCAAAACAAAATAAGCTCCTCTGGACACACTTTTCTTCTTTCTGCAGCATTATTCATAAATGAGGTTGCCTGAAGAGAAGTGTTAAATCACTGCCTGCTATGGATTCCCTCCTATATCGTTAGTACTTCCAAACTTCAGTGCTTCTCCTTGAATCTTGCCTTTCTTCTGTCATCATTTAAACAACTGACAGTTCTAATTATTTTACTCATAGGCAAGGACTTAATTAACCTAATCAGCCTACCATGGACCTGACAGGTATGCTTTTCTGTCAGAGTTAGGTCAAAACATGTAATCTGCAATGAATAGGAGCTCTTTTTCAGCTGCTCTGGCAGTGGTTCAGTGCATCCATGTCTCTCCTCAGGCCACTGAATTGTGTGACCTTGCAGCTCACAATGAAGAGTGATGATTATAAAGTGTATGTCAAAAAGCTAGTCTTCTCTGACCCAGTTTCCAGACATAACATGATGGATAAATGCCAGCGAAGCAGTAGCCTGTGTTATCAAACAATAACAGGGTCAAAGCAGAAGAGAGCATTGCTTCGGTGCTGCCCAGAAACAATCTCCATCCCCAAAGAGCAGCCCAGGGAGCTTTGTTTTTCAGGTTAAGATGAGGAGGCACAAGGTGAGATGATGCGGAGACATCATTGTAAGCACTTCTGGGCATCTGTGCCTGTACTGACTCAGCACCCTGACTGCTTTCTGGCCATCCCTAAGGCAAACAGTGACACAAATCCTTCTGCAAGCTGTGGCTGCTGTATATTGTCAGAAACAGGTCCAC